GAATAAAAGTGTACTTAAAATGTACAAAAATAGTTTAATAAAATATTGTTACTATGCTCTTGTTTATTTGACGTGAAAATAATTAAATTAAATGTTTATCAACTGACAACAGCTGGGGGCTCAGGTCTCTGCTGCTGGGATTTTGTGGGTCAGAAGCTGAAAAGACATGAAAAAAGACATTTAAGTCGTTGGCATAGCCTGCAGATGTCTGGATGTCAGTCCAGTTGAAAAGTTCAAACTGAAGAAAAAAAGTTCAATGAAGAGATTTCAACCTGCAGAATAGTGTTTGTCATTAGTTAGGTCCACAGTTCAAACTGCTCTGAGAGCCAGAGCTGTCAAAATACAAACAGCACAGGGTTGTTTGTTTGTTTGTTTGTTTGTTTGTTTGTTTTTTGTTTGTTTGTTTGTTTTTTGTGATTCTAATTCTTTTTACAAAATTTTCAGTGATTCCATGTTTTTCCTTTACTTGAGATACACAGAGCAAACTGGGCTGACCATGACAATTGTATTTCTTTCATTTTTTAAAAATTGATTCTGTATGCCAGAAGTTTGTTGTTTTTTTGTGCGGAGGCCTGGAGGTTCAGCACTTAAAGTTTTTGCCTGTCAACAAGAGGGTTGCAGGATCACCTCCTGGCCTGTGYCCTTCCATGATGGAGTTTGTGTGTTATCCCCATGCATGGGTGGGGTTTCTCCAGGTARTCCAGATTCTTCCCACAGACCAAAAACCTGCACGTTACATTAAATGATATGATAATTGTCCCTAGGTGTGGGTGGGAGTGAATGGTTGTTTGTCTCAGTTGTCTCAAAGTGTCTTTGTGATGGACTGGAGACGTGTCCTCTCACACTGTGACAGTTGGAGGTAGCACCTGCTCCCTCAGACCTTGAAAGAAGAAGTGAGTAAAGGAAAGAGGTGGTGAATGGATGGATAATTATTTTTGGCATGTTTGAGATGATGAAACTTCTCTATTTAAGGCAGCACCTCACACTCAGTGAAGGGTATCTACTCCTTTCTGACTGAGGACCATGGATACAGATCTGGAGGGGCTGATCTTCATTGCAGCTGCTTCACACTTGACTGTGAACCTCTCCAGTGAGATAAAACACAACGACACCAACAGGATCACATCATCTGCAAAGAGAAAACTGGACTCAACCTGCTCACTGTCTGCATTGAGAATTTGGTCCATAAAAGTAAAAAAAACACACACAATTGATGACAATGGACATCCCCGGCAGAGTCTGACTCTCACCCAGAAACTGCTTGCAGTGAACCAGATTTTTGCATCTGGTTCAGACATGAAGGGTCTGAAAGGCCTGAAGCAGCATACTTACACAGTTTCATACTCATGGAGCACCCTCAACAAGATACAGTACCTCAGGGAACATGGTCAAATGCTTTCTCCACATCCATAAAACACACGCTGACTGGTTGGACAGACTCCCATGTCCTCTCAAAGATCCTAATGTGTGTAAAGAGCTGGCCTAGTTTTCTGCACCCAGGAAAGAACCTGTGTTGTTCCTCCTGAATCTGGTGTCCATCCATCAACCAGACTTTACTTTCCAAAACTCCTGAGTAGACGTTAACATGGAGTCTGCCAACAACAACCCTGCAGCCACATCTCAGAGCAGCTGCACCAACAATGAAGATATGAAACATGACCAACTCAAACTAAATGTCCCCCAACTCTGCACGACTGTGACCCAACTCACTGCCAGGTGGTGATCAGTTGACAGCTTCATTTACAAAGAAAAACTCAGACTGACTAGCTAGTTGGTACCTCTCAACCTCACACATAATCTCAAGCTCCTTTCCATTCAGAGACAATCCACYTCCCAAAAGCCAGTTTTGGTAAGCTAGGGTCAAAAGACCAAGGCCCACATGTCCTGCTGCCACCCACAGCACTATGCACCCCCCTATGGCCCCTCCTATGGTGGGGATGGTTAGGTTCCTATGCTGGGTAAAAAATGAAACCACGTTGTTTATTCAGACTGAGCCACCCCATAAGTTGGGGGCTGGTTACCAGGTGCTGGACAAGTAGAGCCTCTCCTAGGCCTGGCTTAAGGCAAGGTCCCAACCCACTTCCAGGTGAAAGATATTGAGCTCCTGATTTGTCTTCTGTCCATAATAATAAGGTAAATGGACTGTACTTATATAGCACCTTTTGATCTATCCAGGACACTCAAAGCACTCTACACTAACAGACATTCACCCATTCACACTCACATTCACACACTGATGATGGCAAACTACACTGTAGCCACAGCTGACAGAGGTGGGGCTGCCATACACAGGTGCCACCAGACCGTCTGACCACCATCAGTAGGCAAGGTGGGTGAAGTGTCTTCAAGGACACAACGGCATGTGGTCATGGCGGGGAGTCGAACCTGTGATTTGTGGGTCCCAAAGCCGGCTGCTCTACCTCTACACCACAGCCTCCCCAATAATATGTGATAATATTTACCTGTCAGTATACATTTAAACCCTGATGGTCAAGAACTTTGTGTAATGACAAAAGTACTAGACTGGGTATATGGCTGGTCAAAACGAGTCTTCTCCATAAAGTAACTAGTCTCTTACAGAATGAGAAGSTCAGTATCCAGGAGACTCGGTGGAGCTGTTGCACCTCCACATCCAGAGGAGCAAGGTWAGGTGTTCCATGTATGTCCTTTAGTGAAGAGACCCCAGGAAAAACCCAGGACAGGATAGAGAGACATACTGTGTTCTGTCAGCTGCACTGGGAAACACTGGGAATCATCCCAGATGTGATGATGGAGACAGATGTGTGAGCCTCACTGCTCAAGATGGTTCCCCCAAGACCTGTCTCTGAAACAAGAGGCATGGGATGGATGATGGATGGATGGATGGATGGATGGATGGATGGATGGATGATTGATGGATGGATGGATGGATGGATGGATGGATGGATGGATTGATGGATGATGGATGGATGGATGGAGGATGGATGATGGATGGATGGATGGATGGATGATTGATGGATGGATGGATGGATGGATGGATGGATGGATGATTGATGGATGGATGGATGGATGGATGGATGGATGGATGATTGATGGATGGATGGATGGATGGATGGATAGATGATTGATGGATGGATGGATGGATG